ACTTTAGGCTATAGCAAATTATTTCTCGGACCCCCTATCACTTTAAGAACCGCTGGTCTACAGTGGAGGACCATTATTCTGTTGCGGGATACTGCGGAAGAACTGAAGAAGGCACGGTTTGATCTTCGGCTGACCAATCAGCAGAAAGGGGCGTTTAATTCCCACCCACGTGTAGAAATCAAATATTCAAGCTGTTTATTCATTTTTCCACCCATGAACGAAAAATGAAAATTTAAGCTGAATTTTCGTTTTTCGTTTTTTGGAAAAAAAAAAAAAAACGAAAAAGGAGCAGTTTTCTCATTTTTCTACTTTCAATATTAAATAAAAAAATGAATGATCGAATGATACACGGATTTAATCTGACTGGCTGATTTTAAACCGCTTGCCAGAGTAAGGGCACAATTTTTTTTAATCAGTCCACCAAGAAACCAAGTCTGTTTACAATGCCAGATTGATGCAATGATTAATCAATGATTAGTGACATAAAATCTTTTGAAATATACACAGGGTTTAGACACTTAATAGATTTCTGCAAGCAGAAAGTTTCCTGTAAAAATGGGTGATTAATTAATTGTAATTGCTAATAATGTGTTGATTCATCAGTCCATTTCAGCTCAAATGTGTTTCATAATCATGTGATCAGATGGTGGAAACACTGCCTCATTTTGAATATAGTCATAGGAAGCTAGAATGTACCACAGCTCACACGCTGCATGTCATGACACAAACATGCACTAAAATATGAAAAAAAAAGAAAACCATCTAGTTTGTACATTGCTGTAGCTCAGACAGTATGGTACTATGGGTTTGATTCCTGGGGAATGCATGGTAAATATTCCATGGTACACATTCAATGCATCGTAAGTTATTTTAGATAAAAGCATCTGCCATATGCTTAAATGGAAATGACTGATAATGGACTCAATGCACAACAACTGCCTTCATATTTCTGCTAAAATCTCAGTGCTACATAAGTTTAGTAATTTTTGTTTCATAGCAAACTGCTGTAGCATACTGTGGATTTTGTCATATTTCTAATAACTAATTACATTACATTACATATGTTATTAACTATAACATTTTATTGACAGTCAGGGCCAGATTTATGCATAGGCATTCTAGACACGTGCCTATGTTTGCCCAAACACAATGAAGAGATATATAATATTTTTGTTATACTATGGGCTATCTACAACAGTAAAAGAACCATCACCCCAGAAGACATTGAGCAAATAAATATAACAAACAATAGGGTAAAAAATGACAAACTATTTCCATGTCTTCCACCTTTTTTATGTAAGCTACGGAAATCACGCTTTCTTTCTCCCAGTCTCTCTCACACGCACTCTCTCCCTCTCTCTCTTTCGCTCTCTTTCTCTCTAATAACCGCATTAGACTGCATTAATAACTGCATTAGCCTGCATATCAATAGCTCAAGCCTCCGTTATTAGCTCTAAAATTACATTTTGGAATTTGCAACGGAAGGTTTGGGATGAGGTGCGTAAAAAATTAGTTCAACACATGAGATTTCAGGACGGAAACATGTCATGATTGAAACAAATCATCTGAACAATGTCTTGATGTGTGGTTGTGACTCCAGGCCGTTAAAATTATTAGAGAAATAATGCAGTCCCGAAGTGGTTATTATGTGGCCACGTCGCCGCGCCTATTAATGTTTCTCAGTTCTCAAACAAATTAAGAACTATTCGATTTTTATTGACTGAACGCAAGTGCTTATTGCGATAGAAAACACTGTAACGGTTTCCACTGATTAAGAAATATTTTTGTTTGCTTGGGTGGTAATATTAGGCCTAACATAATAATAGGGAAGGGGGCCCAAAAATTTGTTTTGCCTATGTCACGAAAAGAGGTAAATCCGGCCCTGTGACAGTCAAATATAAAGCATTAAAAAAAATTGACAATGGATGTTTTCTGAGATGTCTGAAATAATTTAGTACTTTCAATAAGAGAGAAATCTACTCAAATTGTATACTATTGCCTCAGTGTTTTCTGTACAGTCATTCACAAGACTGACGTCCCATTATTACTTTTTCATGCCAGTCTATTATTGTAAAATAAATAACGTCAGGCACAATAGACCATCAAATGAAATTAACATAAAAAAACGAAAAGACATAAAATGACAAATAAAATCTACACGGTGTATCAGACATGCCATTTAGACAAAGGTCTGCCTATGCAGGACTAACTACATATTTCCCCTTCAATTCAATTCTGGATGGCCAGTTAGGCATTTAAGATGGGTCATTGGCTGTGTTTGGGTTTGCCTTTGTAACAAAGATGTCTACTTTACCTTCATGGTATATGAACTCTCAGGCAAGCCATTCAGCAGGGTTATCAGTGAGTGTCATGGGGCAGCAGAATGAAGTTAACTGAAATCTGCCTGTCTGATAACCATATTTTATCAGCTGAGCAGGGAGGAATGGGACATGATGGTTTTTGAATGCGAATGAAACCGCGGGAAACCAGAGAGAAAACCACTCTCTCCCCAGACTGACATGTATAGTCACTCACTACTCTTTTGCAAAGCCCCTCAATCTGCATTATTTATGTCACAGTCCCTAATAAGAGTCTTCGCAGATCAACTGTAGCTTAAGCCACTCTTTGTGCCACAGACATCGTGTTAACAGCATGGCTGCCTTCCCATTGCCCAGCACCTGTCTGTCCTGGCAGTTCGGTCTTATTAAACTTTCCTATGCATGTGCTCAATAGTCCATGTTTTTGCCTCGCGCTCCCTCACTTCTCTCTCCTCTCACTCCTCCTACAGCTCACGGCCTATTGAACACATTAGCACCTGTCACATCAGTCCAGCCAAGGTCATCGCTCCTTCCCTTCATTCTCCATCCGACTGTTAAACACCAAGTCCCGGCGCTCTGCTCTTCTACAATGGAGAGCCTAAGTGAGCTTCAGAACCCTCTTCTGGATAAGAACAGCAAACACATGGTGATGGCCGACTACGGCTATGGAGGCGACTTCCACAGCAACCAGTATCAGGAGAACATTATAAACTACTTTGTGACTGGTGGAGGAGGTGGCGGTGAAGGTGGGGTTGCGGTCACGGGAGGAAATGGCAAGGCTAAAGCCCAGCTACTGGACGCCACCTCGCTTCATTTGGCAGTGGAGGCCTTTTACAAGCCTAACTTCATCCTTTACAAGGACGATGTGAGCGGCAAGGGCAAGGATTACAAAAATGAGTGCTGCGAGACCACCTTCATGGAGAAGAAAGACAAGGATGTAGCGGTGGAGACCCCCAGTACGGAGGACCCGCAGGCGAAACTGCTGGACGAAAACGAGGTGAAAATCCAGACGGTGTCTTACGAGGTGGAGGAAGAGGAATATGTGGATTACGAGGTAAGGTTTCTTTGAAGATGCTGAGCCGAACTTGTGTTGTTTTGTACGGCTGGATTAATTCCTCAGGTCCTTGACAGGTGGCCTTAAAGCATCGCAGCTCAATTCTCCCAGGGAACACCGGCTTCTAGTTATAGCCTGCTCTACAATATAAGCCCGTATTTGGAAAGGCTTCACATTTCAAAAGCCTGTCCTCCAAAGGTTTAATTTTATATTTGAGTTTTGAAATTGCTTTAGAACATCACTTTATGCTCTAGCAACATCTGCTGGCTCTATTGGATCATGTGTGACGACTACCACTTCAATTTCTCAGCAGATAGGCAAGAGTTAATGAGAGGGGTTGGGCAATGTTCAGTGCTGCTGATGGGATGTAATGGTGCTGGATGGGGGTCCGTCACCCTTGAAGCTCAGTGAGAGGAATATGTATTCAGGTCATGTCCAGGATTCAGGGCCTTTTGGAGTCTCACAATGGATGTAGTTCCATGCTGAGCAGCTCCGGCGCTCATTGCAGTTGTCTGATGATATTAAAGACATTCTCTGCATGTGGGGATCGGGACCTCGGCGGCCCATATGGTGTGGTATATCTTCATGATATGCTGCGTGTTTTACAGTACATTACAAAACATGCAAACAAATTAACCCCTAAAATTTAAAGGTTCAGTGTGTAATATTTAGGAGGACCTATTGACAGAAATGCAATATAATATACACAACTATGTTTTCAGAGGTGCATAATGAACTGTTCTGTTTTTATTACCTTAGAATGAGCAATTTCTATCTACATACACGACGGGTCCCCTTACATGGAAGATGCTATTTTGCGCCGCCATGTTTCTACAGTAGCCCTAAAAGGACAAACTGCTCTACAGAGCCCATTTCGTCACTATGTTGTTTTTGCGAATAAAATACTGACACATTGATGAACAAAAGTAACAATAATGTTCGCAATAACATATCGGTTATACTTCCTTAGTTTACCTTTGTTGAGAAACCTCATTACTTGACTGGCTACTCTCTGATTTCTCAAAGACGACATCTTTGTCCTGTGTCAGCCACCGTAGCTTTTCTGTGTGCAGTTCGCAACCTCACTGCTAGATGCTGCTAAAATGTACACACTGCACCTTTAAGCAATAAAAAAATAAGCATATAATGTGAACAGAACCACAATGAACAACTAAAATTATTAGTTTTTAAATGTTACAAGTCAATTTAGGCATTCACTTGTAGCAATTGTGATGTTTAATTTTAATGTCATTTATCAGTTATCGTCCTTAAAATTAAAATAAATATTGGCCAGCATCAGACAGTATTTTAATATTGGTGTATCTGTATTTTTATTATATGGTGAGTGACATTTCTCATCACAGCTTTCCAATGATCACAGCATGTGGCATAGTAGGTAATTTAAAGATAACTAGGGATGCACATTATTAAATTATTAACTATTTTAAGGGAATATAAATATAACAATAGAAGGTGTGCAATTAATGAATGAATAAATAAATTATTCATTTATATAGCGCTTTATTGTGTATTGTTGTATACCCAGAGCGCTTTACAATCATGTGGGGGGTCTCTCCTCAACCACCACCAGTGTGCAGCATCCACTTGGATGATGCGACGGCAGCCACAGGACAACGGCGCCAGTGCGCTCACCACACACCAGCTACAGGTGGAGAGGAGAGAAAGTCATAGAGCCAATCAAGTGGTTGGGGATTATTAGGAGGCCATGATTGACAAGGGCCAGGGGGGCAATTTGGCCAGGACACCGGGGTTACACCCCTACTCTTTACGAGAATTGCCATGGGATTTTTAATGACCACAGAGAGTCAGGACCTCGGTTTAACATCTCATCCGAAAGACGTATTAAATATCCAGTATCGGCCAATACCAGTCAATTTTTCACAATGTTTACTGCAAAATTATACAGATTTTCCCAAAAATCAGCACAGATGTGAATGAAAATAAACAAGTCACCAGATTCCATCTGGGGCTGAGTTATGTCAAATAAAAGTCATTACAGTGAGCAAGTGTGAGATCAGAACGATTCATCTGAATGGCTAATGATTCATCAGGTTCACACAGTGTCTTTACATCTCATAATAGGATATTCATGAGCATCCTTTGAGAGATAATTCTACAGTGCATTAGTAATATCCCTGTGACATTGAGGCTTGTGTTTCTTCATTTGTATTCTATAGCTTTAAGATCCCTCTGTTCTTCCTCTGTGGCAATGATAAAGTGAACTCGGGAGTTTGCCTCTAGAGACACCTCTGTTGTTCCCATTCTTGTTCTTTATTCTGAGTGTTGTGAAATATATCTTGTGTGTAACAGAAAAGTGTGAACTGTGCCTTAGTTGTCCTCACTCTTGGAAAGCGCACACACATCTGTCAGAGCTTCTTGTTTGAGGAGGGACTGACAGCAGATCTCATTTGGACGATTTCTTCTAGTGGAAAAGAGCCACTAATGGTCCTAGTGTTTTTGTTTAGAAGTAACAGGATGTTATGAAATTGGTATTTTATCTTCTTAAACCACAATTTGATGCCTTTAAAGCCAATTTAGTTCCTTCTCCTCAGATTTAATTATCCCTTAGAAAGAATGCACTGAGGACAAATTATCCAGTAAGTATTTAATAAGAAATTGTCACATCACCTTGAATAGGGAAGTGTCGAAATGGCTAAATTGTAATTTTTTAAAAGATTCTCATCAGTGCATATTAACTTAAGAATCCTCAATGAGCCTCCTTTAAATGAAAAGATGATGATGATTATGTTGATGGATGGTTCATGCTCATTATCCCTGTTGTTTTTGATAAGCTGAACTTAAATGGTGTAGGAATCTTTATATAGGCTATATGCAATCTTTTACAAATCTCAAAATTAATATCCATTTTTCATACTGTGCATTATAATGTTAGGATGCCAAAATTAACTTTTTATATGTAAATGTAGGAACCATGTATAATCTGTACTGTCTGTAGTTTTAAACAAAAGGTGTTTCACCACTACAGACTGTTATAATAGTGTTATTTTTACTTAGGAAAAAACAATATAGAATTTTATCCACCATTTACATATTATTGGCCTTAATATGAAAATAATGATCAGCTTATCAGTGTCGGGCAAAATTTTAATATTGGTGTATCCATAGTTATATTAATTGCATAAACTACTGAGCGACATGCTGTGACCAACAGAAAGCTGTGATGAGAAATGTCATTCAACATATAATAGAAATACAGATAGACGGATATTAAAATTCTGTCTGATATTAGGCAATGATTATTTTAATTTTACTAACGATGACTGATCGAATGATGAAAACTAAAACTAAAACCATATGCAGATATGCATCTCGTATATGGTCCGCTGCTCAATATACAGCATTAAATTAAGATAAATAAAGTTTGGTTCTACACCAGAAACACAAATATATTTAATGCTTTCAAGAATATCCCATAATATAATTAGAGGTACAATTAGCATCAAGCTACACTTGAAAATGTATGTAATTATTAATGTATTTGTTTAAAAGTCACTTTAAACCATCATCGAGTGCTTGTAATAACTTCTGATTGTGATCTATAGTTGATTTTGATTATAATAGGCAGACTCTTTGTATGTCATCAACATCCTTTCTTGTTTTAAAAATACCATGAGCTGCATACAAAACACATACAGAAAATCAATCATGTCTATTTGTTTCACTCGATTTTTTAAAACGATCAAAAACGGTCAAAAAGTGTAAATCCCATGTTGTCAGTCAAGTTGTCATTTAAAATCCGAACATCATTGGTAATGTTATTGTTTTAGTGATTATGCACAGAAAACTACGGGTCACGGACACTACGTCCATGTTTTTATACAGTCTATGGTTGAAAGTCCTCTACTTCGGTGTTTTTACGCTCGTGCTCAATAGAGTCTTCTGAGCTTTTAGCGCCACCGCGTCGACCTTTTGGGTAACAGCAGTTGCTCTGGCCACGTGATGTAATGCTCAAATCTTATTGGACGGCCCGTGTTTTCGCTTTGAGAAACTGAAAAGATTCGTCGGACTGGTTCGAAAAAAAGCACTCGCATTTTCGGTAGATTTTATTGGACGGCCCGTGTTTTCGCTTTGCGAAACTGAAAAGATTCGTCGGACTGGTTCGAAAAAAAAAAAAAACATCCGCATTTTCAGTGCACGAATGTTCGCGGTCTATGTGGATGCATCCATAGGAATCTGTTGTTTTTATTTCAGCGCGTCATTGCATCTGATATTCATTTTGCTTTTTCGCGCTCAGTGTGGAAAGGCCTTAAGAGTGCACATGCGTCTTTGATGCAGCATACAGCGGTGTTGTGCATTGTTGATGGGAAAAGTATTTTCAAATGCATTCAAAATTCTGAATAATTTGTAATAAATAATTGTTCTCTGTATTTTGAAGTGCCCACGATAACAATATCGTGCATGTTCATTATTGTGATATATCGCATTACCGAATACCGGCTCATGTCTATGTTGGATGACAGTAAAACTAATCTAAATGTAAACGGGGGAAAATGGGCATTAAAAAATTAAAATGTCCGACTAAAAAAAAAAAAAAAACTTGGATATCAGTCCATAACCGATATAGTATGAGCCTTACTGTGAAAATACCTTGTAACCTATCATAACCTATCATTAAGTATATGTTTTTAATATGATCAGTTATAGATGCCCTAAAGCTGGTTTGCTAATGATCTAACAGCTGGAGTCCCTTTGATGTTTGGCAATCTGTAGCACTGAACTTTCCAGTCAATAATATCATTAGTTTCTTTTGCCATCCATTTGATAACATCTGCCTTCGCACACCATCTGTGTTACTGTGCCGTCAAATTAATAATTGTCTTTCAGTTGTTTGTGCAGTCATTATACTTGGGTAAAGTTTTCAGAGTATGTGCATGTGTCCAATTGGTCAAACTTTGTTAAAATGAGAGGAAACAGCTGATAAAACATCCAAAAAACAGTTTCTCTCTTAAATTTTATTC